AGACTTAGTTGTTGTCCTCGTTCTCCTCAAGGCATGGAAAACACGAATAGTGCTATAGAGGAGATCCAGGGTCAGTACCCCCACAGAGTCACTCTGTCTAATGTATCTCCTGGGTACACACCCAACACAGAGCCAGTTCCCTGTCCCAAATTCTGCTTCTGACAGACATTATGATTTAAGCCACATCCAAGATATTATAATAGAGATTCAGAGAGCACTGAATGCATATCCATCCAGGTTCTGTGGCTGAAGGTTGTGTTGCTGACAGAGAAAGAGTGGAATATGAAAGCTAAAAGAAATATTTGTGTAGGAAGGAAAAGACATGTGATCCCATAAACTACCTGGTATCCTCTAGGCTGTCACAGTGTCTCTTTCTCTATTGAAACAAGATGACAGTCTTCCCTTGCCCAGGTGATGCTACCATCTAATTGGGAGACTGAGTCACATTATTATAGGTGCTGCCCTCAGGAGCAGCCTCCCATATCAAGTGCTGATACTAAATAGGGTACGCTAGAATAGTACAGTCTTAGTATAGAAAACAATGGCTATAAATGAGAAAGTTACATCTGTGGTTAATATGCATAGGATTCTGCCAATATTACACTGGAAAATAGATGTTCAATTTATTAGAACAGAGTAGTATAGATGAAGCAAATTGAAAAATAATTCCACATGAGAAACTCTCCCATGGCTTGAGATGTGATGCTTTTCTGAGTTGAATTATGGCCACCAAGAAAATGATATATTATAATACAAATTCCTAGAAGTTCAGAGTGTTATCATATTGAGATTTAGTATTCCACCAATTAAACACATTGAAGTCCTAATGTGCTGCTAAGCTAATGTGATTTGTATTCTCTAGAAAAAAAATAGAGGAAATTTTGGCCACAAAGAGGGAAGTATGAAGATGAAAGTAGAAATTGGGGTAATTCATCTACAAACCAAGGAATTGATACAAATACTGATGGTAAACCACAAGAGTTAGGAGAGTGACAGAGAACAGATTATCCATAAACTATCATTAACCTATAAAGAACACCCACCTTGTCATGATTCGGTTTTACAATTAGTTTTTCCTTAGGAAAAAATAAATTGAATATGCAAATATATTTTTCACTAAGTCACTCAATGTATAAAACAGGATCTCTAGAAATATTTTAGTAGGGAAATATTCTTATCTGAAAAAGAACTCTGTGGCATGATCTTCATACCCTTTTGATAACATCTACCTCTCTAGGATCTCATTCAACTACAACTACAAAAATGTGCTTTGCGTAACGTTCACATCAATCTCTCAAATTTTCCTGAGAAACTTTTGTCCTTGTAAAAATTACTTTCCACACAAGACCAGGTTGGAGACACATAGAGAGAGAGAGAGAGAGAGAGAGAGAGAGAGAGAGAGAGAGAGAGAGAGAGAGAGAGAATAAATGGGAGGAGTCCACAGAGTCACAAGGGGCATAAACATTTCAAAACAGAAGAGCAGAACACATAGAGACAGACATCATTGTATCACTGAAGGGTAGAGAACTTTGAAATCTCTTTTAGGAGATTCAGAGTTTACTTCCATGCTCATAGATGTTTTCTCAGATGAATTAAAAGCATCATACCATAGCAATATATGCACACCTATGTTTATAGCAGCACAGTTTGTAATAGCTAAATCTTGGTAACAACCTGAAAGTCCATTGACTAATGAATAAAGATGTGTTTTTTAATGCAATGGTGTGGTAAGTAGCCACAAGGAAGGATAAACTTGAGGTATTTCTAGGTAACAGAATGCATCCTAAGACTACATTCTTAAGTGGCCATACTCTTAAGTGACATAATCAGATTCGCATACATAAATTGCATTGTCTTCTTGCTTTGAGAAACTGAAAGTGTAAATAAGGACAAAAATGTGTAACAGATACTGTGAAATAGGAAAAAAATTGTCAAAGAGAAGGAGAACTAGGGAGTTGAAAGAAAAGTGGGAAAGAAGAGAAAAAAACAAGAACAGAAAGAAAAATTTGGAAACAAAGCTTTGTAAATAAGATAAGGAAGAGGGGTTGAAGGATAGTGAAATTAAGAGGAATCTATGTATGTCATATACAGGCACAAATCCCCTATGATGAATGCTATCATGCTGTATGTCTAAATTATACCTCTGCACTTAATTTAAGAAAAATCAGTCATCTGAAGAAGATATGCTGGGGGATAACCAGGTCATGATTTGATCTGCCTAGAGACAGTTTAGTGCTAAACTAAATATGGAAAGAGGCAAATTGGGAAGCCACTGAAATAATCAAGACAGAGATGATAAAATGTGTTAGAAAAGAACCAGAGAACTTCAAACTGAAGCAGGGAGACAGCAAGAGACCTGGAGAGAGTGAATCTCATGCCCTCCACATGAGATGGCTGGGTGTAGGCTGTTTTCTGAGGTTTTGGTATATTCCTAATGTAAACAGAGGCACCCAACAGTAATGAAAGTAGTCAATCTCTGTGTAACATGATGCTTATTGGACTGAGCAGGGCCTGAGGAAAAGCAAAAGGATTTCTCAGAGTGACACTGGCCCAGGAGAGGAGCAGAGTTTGGACAGTGTTCTCACAAGGTGTGTACCTCAGACACAATGGGCAGTCATAGAGACCCTGGGAAGGACAGGATGGCCAAGACCAGAGTGCTGGAGCCTCAACAAACAAAGGCCTTGTTTATTAATGGGATTTTTCTTGCCCAGAAATAAAATATTCGTATTGCTCCAAGGAATGTCTCTATTCTGGCTGAGTAGGTAATTTTAGAAAAAATCAAATATAGTCATTATTTTGTGATTAGAGAGCTAAAACTCTAGACAGAATCCCTTTGGTAATCCACGTGGGTCTCCTCCCAATTTCAATGGCCTAGGAGCTCTTTGTTTTCACTTTTCAATAATACTGCTTTCTGTTTTCACAAATTTTGCTCAGTCATTTTGACTCTTTACCTTGTGATTATTTCTGGGTTGAGAATAAGAATCATTGGGCCTGATGGGACAGAAAAAAGGTGATGATGAAGATGTATCTAAACATGCCTTTGGACTGTTTAACTGACTCTTTCCCATGTACAAATCACTATAGGCTTGAATATCTTCTGTGTTGGCTCCCACATGCATGCTAATCACTATTTTCAGACTCATGGTATAGTCACAAATTTGTCAAGTGTCTACATGTTCCAAACCCAAGTCTGCTCTAATTGTGAGTTCCTCCTCTTTTCCTGAACTTCTGTGTTGGAAGCAAGTGTTTGAGGCACTGATTCTGCCAAAACTAATCATCATCTTTGTGCAATCTTGATTCACTTGGGGAAATTGGAAGCGACTGAGAAATAGAACAATCTCTTATTTAGTAGTCAGGTCCACATCTCAACAGTTTTTGTTCCTCCTCTCAATTTGATGAGGCCAAGTGAAAAGAAAGTTGGTAGTCATAGAATACCTTCTCTGTCAAGTCATTCTTCTGGGCATTATTGTATCAGTTTTCCTGTTTAATTGTAATACATTGATTAGAATGTGCCTTGCTGCTTCATATAATAGAAGGTAATGCCAGTCCTTATATGTACCTAGAACTTCCTAATGGTATGGAACAATATGGCTCACTAGCAATAAAAGAAAATTGTACTGAACACTGTCCTATATGTGGTGACGAATTTTTCCAGGGTCCATGAATTTTAACCTCAACATCCAGGAAATTCTTAACTCCTGTCAACATTCAACTGATTTTTTTTTGTATGGTAAATTAATGGAATTATTCTCCAAATCATTGCTTCTGTACCTTTTGTAAGAAGTAAAACTTCTTGAAGTTTTGGTCACTCAATTGGTGAAGTTACTGCTGGATATAGGAGCACATGAAAATGGACAATTAAATCTATATTATTAAAGCATGTCTAGGGTCTGCATGAAAGTGTTGTCATTTTGACCAAGTGGACTATCACAATGCTTTGGCCCTCTTACTTCAGATTCAATCTAGCCTTTATAACTCCAGTGAAGATTGGCCTTAATTTGAAGATATCTCTAATAGGTTTTACTGCTCTGTAGTCAGTTACATGAAACATACGTTCAATGTGTCTCAGTCTCTGTTTCAAGAGTCAGGGAACTGATTAGCTGTATCCTCTGCTCAGGGTCTTACAATGCTGGGCTCATGGTGTCATTTGGGGCTGTGTCCCATCTGAAGCTCCTGGCCCTCCTCCATGCTCATGGGGCAGAACCATTCTCTCTCAGATAGATTTGCCAATGTACATTTTCTTTAAGAACAGCAGGACAGCAAACATATCATGTTCTTCCAGGAGCTTTTAAAGACTTCACTTGATTGTGTCAGGTTCATTCACAATAATGGCCTTTTTGTTACACTCAGAGTCAACTGATCAATAACTGACTGATAGGACAGAGAGCCAGTCACACCCACAGGTCCACCCAAACTGGAGGAAACAGTTGCACAGTGTGGTCCCTGAGTCTCATTAGAACTACGCTGAATTGAATGGCTAAATAAAAACTATTTCACCTACCCTCAGCCCCCAGCAACATCTTTTCTGAGTCCAGATGAGTAAGCATGTCACTGAAGAGACCCTCATGTGGTTTCAGATATTACCCCTTTACCTATTGTGGTGGCCTTCCCTGGGCTTCTTAAGCAATGCCAGGCACCAACATCCTTTCTTCCAAACACTGGCCCATGGTCTCACCAGAGATGCACAGAATGGAAAAAGGGAAATTGAAAGACACCTGAAGAGAGGCCTGGGAATGCACAGTGGAAGAGCTCCAGTGAGGAATTCACTGGTCCAATCCCACCAGGTGCCATGGCTTCATCTAATGATACAGATAACACTCAAGGAAAGAAAGAGCAGTCTTCTCAAATTGATTTGTGATGCTCATTTAAGTATTTTGTACCCCATCACTTCTTTTTTGAGTTCCCAAAGCAGCACCAAATTGATCATCATTATTCTAATAGTGAATTTTATGTGATAATGACCTAGTAGTGGTTTTCTCAGAAATTATTAGATTTTCAAATTTCATTAAATGACAGATTTTATTTTGGTTGGGTAAAGTATTTGGGCTTTGGGACATTGTCCTTAATAATCCTCAAATCTTAATACATGGATCTGCAGTCCCATCTGCTGCAGAGTTGTTCTAGAGTCAGGTGATGCTCATTCATTTCCTCTGTGAATCCACAAGAGCAATGCAAAGCCTGAGTCTCCTGGTGTCATCACTGCCCCCAGCCCACTCCACACCACCCTGAGTCTGTGGAGTGCTTTTCCTTCTTTTCATGATGATTCCTGCCAGTCCAGTCCAGAGTGATTCTTGATTTGCTTTATTCAGGGTCAGCAAACCATGGTTTGCAGATAATGTTTTCTTCAGCATGAACAATGCAGTGAGGAAAAGGATCTCTGCACATCCTGGACACCTCGGTCACCCCACTCTTCAGGCACAGCCATGCACAGAGACTGATCCACTGCAAGGTTGGGCAGCAGCTCAGCATCACTGGCCAAGGTCTGTCTCTGAATATACTTCCTAGCCAGCCTGCCTCTTCCCTGTGTGGGTCCTCGAGCACACACAGGGCTGCACTGCATTGACACTCATGCTCAGTCCTCTGGCCTGGCACCCACAGTCTCCTATCACACGCGTAGAGCAGAACCTTGGGGTCCCAACTGCAGACTGATGACATCATCCTTAGGGTCTTGGTGACACACCAGCATGATACAGAGCACAGTCATAACCCAGGTCTTCAGGGAAACCCAGGAACATTTTCATTCACTTTTTTCCTATTTGACAATGAGTAAGCTGAGGCCTGGGGACGGACCCTGACCTGCCAAGGCATCACACACTCAGTGACAGAGGCAGGATAGCAATCAAGTCCCTGGGCTGTCACTCCAAAAGCCCACAGCCTCCCCATAAAGTAATGCTTCAAACCTGTTCCTGGCAGCTCTCCCAGTCCAGGCCTGCGGGTCGTGGCTGGTGGCCACTGCTTGCGGCAGAGCTCCCAGCCAGAACCTCCTGAGGCTTCTCCTTCTAGGCACTGAGACTTCCTGTGACTTCCTCAGAGAAGCACTTATGGTGACACAGGATGTGGATTCAGTGGGAGCTGTAGACAGTTAAATGGAAAACACCTTTGCTTCCTCTTTCTGAATTTTGAGGTCCAAAAAAGTGTCATGGAATAGAAAAAGACCTATGGTCCTGGTTAGAATCCATCTCCCCTCTTCCCATGTAGACACAGCCTCTCCAGCATTTGTGTTGGTGGTTTTCTTGATCCTGGCCATTCTTGGAGTGAGATGGATTCTCAGTGTGGTTTTAATTTGCATTTCTCTAATGAGTAATGATGATGAACAACCTCAGAAAATGGAAAGACATCCCTTGCTCATGGATAGGAAGAATAAATATTGTAAAAATGGCCATTCTCCCAAAACTCTTATACAGATTCGATGCAATACCAATAAAAATACCATCAACATACCTCATAGATCTCGAGAAATCACTGCTAAAATTCATCTGGAGTGAGAAGATACCTAGAATAGCAAAGACAGTTCTAAGTAGCAAAGGCAAGGCAGGAGGCAATCCCTGACTGGAAGTTATACTACAAAGCACAATCCCTGACTGGAAGTTATACTACAAAGCAACTGTAGTAAAATCAACATGGTACTGGAATCAAAACAGAGCTAAAGATCAATGGGATAGATTAGAAGATACAAACACAACTACAAACACACTCAGCCACCTTATCTTTGATAAAGGAGCCAAACAGGTTCACTGGAAAAATGACAGTCTCTTTAATAAATGGTGTTGGAAAAACTGGCTGTCCATGTACTGAAAACTAAAACTAGACCCATGCCAATCAACATGTACTAAATCAAAATCTAAATGGATCAAAGATCTGAATATTAAAACAGAAGCACTAAATCCTATTGGAAGACAAATTGGGTAAAAACCTTGAAGACATAGGGGTAGGTAATTTATGAAAAAGACTCAAACCACTCGGGAAATACTTCCCAGAATCAATAACTGGGATCACCTCATATTAAAAATTTTCTGCATGTCAAAAGAAATCTCCAGCATAGTGAAAAAAACCCAAAAACTGGGAAAAAAATCTTAGTGAACTGTCCCCCAGACAAAGGACTCCTGTCTAAAACATACAAAGAATTTTAAAAAAAAATCAGACCACCAAAATTCAAAGCCCCAATCCAAAAATGGGCATCCGAGATGAATACACAGTTCTCAGATGAAGAAATACAAATGGCAAATAAATACATGAAAAAATAGATTTATTTTGATGGGGAAAAAAAGTTTATTTAAAACTGTCTTTGAGGAAGCCAGGGAGACTTTTATTCCAAATGCTGTTGCATCATGTGGACATCAATGTTGTGTGTGGTGAGATGATGAGCAAGATAAAGCAGACAAGGAGATTTTTCTGTTTTATTCCCCACATCTTTTCCATTCTCAATGCCTTTCCTCACTTATGAAAACGAAGCCAGACTTCTGCTTCCTGGGGCCAGCAGGCATGCATGAGCTTCCAGAGGCATGTGTTTCTGCTTCTGTGCATCTGGGGTGGGATGTTGATGGCACTCACCACATGAAGAAAGAAGTATTCTTTGTCCCCCCGAGATTTCACAGATGTCAGATTTTCCTCCAAGGTGCTGCTTTCATGAGAGGGATACTACTTGCCCATCGGAAAGCAAATCTCTTTGGATGAGTCCCAACTTCTAAAGGTGTGTTTTGCCCGTGTAGGCAAGGCACTTTAACTGGAGTTGGAAATGTCTTTGTCACTCACCAAGGCACATTCTTACCTCTGCTCCACCTTCTCAGATTTTGCAGTCACCCAGTGATCAGTGGTACATCCTGGATCTTACCAACACTTTGAACTTCTCATCTTTCTGTGTAAGTTATAATAACATGGGCAACTATTTCTGCCTTTCCATATCACAATGTGTGGCCTCCATGCACAGACTGGAAGTGCTGTTATCACAGAAGTGACATGTGAGGGAGCACAGTGAGGAAAACTGATTAAGGTAGGGGAAGGAAGGTAGGGCAAGGTTTCAGCAGAAGACTGGCTTCAACCTGGAGCTTGGCATCTCCAGAGTACTGACTGTATTTGGGAACTTGAACAAGTGGAACCCCTTGAAGGAAAGGGGCTGTGACACCCTCATTCTCCCATGACATTGGTTTACCTGCTGCTAGGATGCTCTTGAGGGTTAGGATAATTTGTTTAGTGAACTTCCTATTTTCTTTAATGAATTAGTGCACAGAAAAGCAGGGCTGTGAACTGATACAGGCCCAGACACAAAGGAGCAGGGGCACAGGTGCACTTGCCTAGGGAGGGGATTTGAACCACTTCGACAGGGTCCACTGCACTCTATTACATCCTCAGGTTCAAGCTGAAGCCTTTGTATTAACATTCAGATTGAAGGATCATGTTTCAGAGTGTGTCTTCTGTCCTTCATTTCACTTCTCAAACTAATGCTAGAGTTACTGTGCTAAGTCAACCTTATGACCTTACATGTGATATTTAATGCACTTACACTCTCCTCTGACATCCTGATCATCAGGTTTTAACATGATTATCACACCTTTGTAGATCTTAGCTGTTTCTGTTGCTCCAGGTTCATGTTTTACCAATTATCCTCACACTAACATAGTGTTCCAGCTTGATGCTCATTTCTTAGTCTATGCTTTGTGAAGGAACAATTCTTGTGTTTGTTTAAACGCCTCAGTGTCCCTAGACTAGTAATGGCCCTTGAGTCAAAAATCACACATGTATTAAAGCAGGAAATAAGAGCTGAATGAATATTATTTAGTGTCTATACAGAGTTTTGTAGTTTTAGAAGCAACTTTTAATGAGGAAATAGGACCGAAAACTCTCCCATCGAGTGCCCATATTTATAGAATAGTAATCCATTCCTCAAAACCTCAAAGCTCAAGTCAAAGTCCTTTTAAGACTCAAGGCAAACTCATAGCTCTGAACCTCTGTAACAACAAAAAAAGTTATGTAATCTGAAGGAACAATGGCATGGAGTAAACACTCTAATTCAAAAGGGAAAGAATAGGGAGATATAAAGAATTGAAGCAAATCAAGACTGAAACGTAACATGGCAAACGTAAAGTCCTGCAGCTCTCTATGTAGCATCCAAGGCTTATGGTAATAACAGGACTTGCAGAGCACATCTTACTGCTGGTTGCAACCCATGCGACTTCTCTCTTGAATTCCCTCGGATGATGGCCAGTTGTTTTCTCTGTAAATATTCACATTAATGGCTCTCTATCTTTGGAGTCCATTGTGTCTTTGATTTCCTTACCATAGGTTCATACACTGCCTCCTCAGAGGGCACTCTGCTGGTCTCCCGGACCTTCTGAAATCTGGATGGAGGCCCTCTGACTCATAACTCTTGCCTTCTGCATATTGGTAATATCATAATCAGCTGAGTGACACCCAGATCTGCTGTCAGCAGGAGTCACAGTCAGGTCTTTGTGGACAAGAGTGGGAGTGGACACTGGGTGCCCACGTATCTGAGCAACACGAAGGAATCCCTGGCAGCCAGTTCCTGCGGTGGCCCTTCTTAAATGGAGGTTCTGGTGAAGCTTTGATGCATTCTTTCTCTCCTCTAACAGTGGGTAGGATTTTGCTGATTTTTGAGCTGCTATCAAATCCTCTTTTTCTCATTACTGTACAAAGTACTTGATTTCTTTTTAATGGCACTAATCTCTTCAGTAACTACACTTCTTTCAGCCACAAGTTTATACAGTTTGTTTTGGGTCACTACTTAACATTTTAGTTTTGAAATTTTCTTCCCAACTCACACCATATACCTGTTTAAAGGCACCTAGCAGTCCAGGTGCCACAGCCTGAAATTTGTGTCACCTCAAAGTATCTTTACAAGATTAGTCCCTGACCTCACTGTCAATCTTCTGAAAAGTCATAGAATAGTCATAGAATACATAAAAATGTAAACATATTATTATTAATTTTATAATCATTATCTTTGGCATCATGTATCTGTCAATGGGGCTCTTGTTTTCAACTGAAATCTGCTCAACTTGACATTTATTGTTCACATTCCTAACAGCATTCTGGTTGTCTAAGCTTTGAGTAGCATCACTCATTTGGCTCCTGTTAAACCAGCTAGAGATATGCAGGCCTTCATTTCCAAAATTTTCCAAACTCATCCTGGAAACCAACTCCAAAGGCCTACAAATCACATAGTAGGTTATAATTATAGAAATAAGTACACGTCTCTGTTACTATTTCTTTAAACTACATGCCACCTTCAGTTTTAAGAGGAAGCGTTAATTTACTTCATGGTTTCAGAAGAGTCAGCTTATCTCAGGTTTGCTCCAAAGCAAAGAAACAGTGGCAGGAAGTGTGCTGGAACAGCAGGGATTAATTCCTAGCCAAAAGAAGCAGAGAGAGGAACATGAGCAGGTGAAAGGCAGCCAGACCTGTTACTGAAGGTTGGGACACGATGATCCATCAGAACACACCCAATAGTGAGCTGCCTGTGAGGCATATTCATTACTACACTTAGCTCTTTCAGGCAGGATAATATTCCTGGAAAGATGACCATAAGTTTCACATGTAAAATTGCAGGGTTTATTAATGAATATTTTTAAGTTTTATGGACAGATAATTAATTACGATATACCATGTGCCCAGAAAAATTTTTGTCTTGTAAATGGCAGTGACCATGTTAGATTATTGATTCCTTCATCACTGCCTCTAGAGATCATGGGAGTACAGAGTATGGTCTGAAAATTCAGTCATACTGTGGATTCTGACTTGACATAATGTGTATTTTAAGAACTTCTCTACTCTCAGTATTTTTATTGAATAAAAGGAGTATAACAGTAGTACTCACTTTCTTTGAGTCTTGTAGTAATTACTCCTTAATAGTAACATCTTATTAATCATTTTAAATGTTGGAAAATTATAAAAATCATAATAGAATAGCAATAATGAATACATTGAGTATTTTTATCTTTAGTTTATCATCATACAAAATGTGGACTTATAAGATTCTCCAAACAATATTAGCACATCCTTTTCAATGAATTAAGGGAAACCAGTTCTATAACCATTTACTTGATTTTTGTTAGAAGAAAAGCCTATGAATCTACCTACACAGATAAGACTAGAAAAACCAAACTGTGATTGCATGGCATTTTCCAAATATACAAAGAGTGATCCTGGCTTACACTGTCTAACATTTTTCTGCATCTTTAATGCAAAATCTATGAATGAAAATATGTTTCTACATGGTCCTTAAGTATTCCTTGGTGATAGAACTGAAAATTGTCCTTTGCACTCTTCCATCTTTAAAATCAATGTTGTGCTCCAGAGACATTTATGTCATCTGATAGAACTTTCCTAACAAAGAACCCCTGATAGCATTTTTCATCTGACAATTTTTTAAAGAATAGCTCAAAGGATTAACATGGGAGTTATCATGGGGTAGAAGACAGCAATTGCTTTGTCGATGGGTAAAGTCCTTGCAGGTCTCATGTATACAAATATGCATGACACAAAGAACAAGACAACCACCATGATGTGGGAAGCACATGTGGAGAGGGCTTTCTGCCTCTCCACCACACTCTGGGTTTTTGAGAAGAGAATGGATACATAAGAGACCAGGAAAAGCAGGACATTTAACATACAGATGAAACCACTGATGGCAGCAACAATGATCCTCAGAGTGAGGGTGTCAATGCCAATTTCAGTAGAGGGTTCAGGTCACACATAAAGTGATTGATGACATTCGGGCCACAGAAAGTAGCAAGATGAAGAGGATCAGTATGGTTGCATGAAGAAACCCTCCCACCCAGGACACTCTCCAGTTCATGATGCTTGCATAGTGCAAGGGCTTACAGATGGCCTCATAGTGATCATAGGCCATCACATTCAGCAGGATGCCTTTGGCACCTCCAAAGAAATATTCCCCTCCAAATCTGGGTCATGCATTCATTGAACAAAATGGTCTTCTTTTCATGGAGTGAATCTATAATCAGTTTCAGAGTACTGACAGAGGAGTAGCAGGTATCAATGAAAGAGAGATAGGCCAAGAAACAGTACATGGGAGACTTCTGTTCTGACAGTGATGGTGACAAGGAGGAGCACATTTCCCACCATGGAGATGATGCAGATGAGCAAAAACACAGCAAATATGATTTTCTGAATCTTTGAATTTTCTGTGATCCCAAGTAGAACAAACTCAGTCATGTTGTTTTTATTTGCCATGTAGTTAATTTTGAAATTAATTATATTACCTGAAAAATTTTAATACATTCTTTTATTTATACTAGCAGAATGCTTTTTAAGTTTTATAAAGCAGATAAATATAAAAATGTCTCAAAAAATCCAAATCTTTAACACACATGTTGGTACGACAATTTTACCAGCTTCCTATTCTTGTGGCCCTTAATTGTAGTAAATAATAAATGCTATTGAGCTGTATAACTGTACGTAGTTTTCTGATTTGGTTTTGGTTTTTGATATAAAATGAGCTGTAAATTCCTGTGCATTACTCAAGTTGTCTTCTGGATGAAGATTCTACAGAAGATATTCATAAGGAACTCATGGGGGAAAAAAAGAAACTCATGGAAACACACACAAAAAAGATGGTCAATTAAATTCACTTAATTGAGATAATTAAGAGCCCAAATTGAAGTAATACTTTTCAAACAGTGGCAGCTATGCCTAGCA